GTAATTTGACACATTGCCACCTGTGTCAGACACAGGCTTTCCACTGTCAAGTGTCAAGCATGAAAGTCAGCTAGAGAATTCAGAGGGGAGGGGGTGGGAATGAAAACAATGTTTCTGGTGGTTACGCATAATCACATATACCAACGCCAGGTTCAAAGTGGGGACAGCATCACACGTGACCTCACCAAAAAGCCACAGTAACCTGGGTAGTAAAACGTATTTGATCTCCCACACTACTCTGCAGAGGGGTGTGTGTGTTTGTGCGTGTGTGTATACCTCTGTTAGACCTTGATCTTCCACTTTCTCCAGTGCTAATAGAGCCTGACACCTGAGAAGGGCCAGTCTGTGAGTCCCTGCAGCCTGTTCACATTAAGGCCTGTTATTTAAAAGTATGCGAGCACCACCTTTCAGCCTTCAGGCTGGACGTTTGCTCTTTGCACAAGCCTTCTACTGACAGTCGCCAGTTTAAAATATTTGTTACATTCAGGGCAAACATCAGAGTGTTTTCAGCTAAATCATTCGTATATGTGAATCTCATTGCTGTTAATGTACTTTTTTCAGTGCCCCTGCTTGGTGACAAAGGTTTCACCACATTTCTTTCAATATTTATATTTCTTGCCTTAAAAAAGAAAATCCCAGTCACCCATGGCCCCTGCTGGCACGCTGCTGGCAGTTTAAAATAAGAGTGACATTTATGTTTTTCCTTCACTTTACAGTATATATGGTTGAGGGAAGGCTTTATCGGATGTCACATCTTAATCCATAAATACAGAATTTACACTTTAGTCTGTAAAACCTAAAAGCCTTTCTTTCCCTCTTGAGGTTAAAGTTTCCTCTTTTTATGTCATCTTTGCCTAGTGAAATCACATGTTCCTACATCTGTCTCTGTTTCTCACAGATGATCAGCTCTAGAAAAGAAAAAAACACGTTTTGTTCGATATGTGGAAATTTGATTAACTTTTGCAAAAAAAACACTGGAGGCTGTACAGATGCCGTGGCTGTCTCTTCACAGTACTAAACCCCGATAGATAGCAGTGGCCTGTAATCATTTCACACTATAAAAAGGAGGAAACTTACTCTTTTTCCCACCATTCCTTAAGGAATGCTTAAATATAGAAATGGAAATTTAATATTTAACAATAAATTTTCATACATTATGACATCCTGGTTACGAGCAAGAGGGAATTTATTCACTTTTCTTTAAAATCTAACTTTTCTTTAAAAGTATATAAAGGTAATGCACAGTTTAGTGGAATACTTTGTTGATCATCGTTATTTAAAAGGTTAGTACCTTATTTCAGACATGGGCCTTACATGCAAGAAGGATAACTTCGAGTTCCAGTCTAAAAGGTCTGGGTTACAGGTAGCCGTATCGACTTGCACTACTCAGTTTGAGTTGGTGAGTTTCAGATTAGTGAAAAAAATAGAAATACCTTGCCATCACTCCAGATCTGCCGTTGGTGGGGGGATAGGACCGGTAGGGTGTAGAAAGAAACTTTGGGAGTGAGTACAATGATAATGAGTACCAGGTCTCCATGTGCCGGGAGCCAGGCCATGGCACTAGCTCTGGCTGGTTGATCAGGGACATCTTTACTTGATTACAGGGATGGGTTGATTAGGTTGTGGGTGGAGGAAGAATAAAAGATAGAAATGACTGAGCAAGAGAGAAGAAGCAGAAAGATGGCTTACATGAAACAGACGTGGAGAAAATGGATTGGTGAAGTAACATGGGAAGGGGAACAGAGGAACCTGGATGAACAGCTGCGTACAGCTATTTATTTCACCACTGTAAAGTTTCCTGGTGATAAGTCAAGTGGAAATGATAAGCTACATTGCACAGCAAATTCCACCTATCCTTCCTCCAGCTCGTCTCTGCAGTTATCCTTCCATTTGACCATGTGCTTTACTTCCGCTGAATTAAAATAGAAAGTATCCCAAAGGCAGATTCAGTCTGTGTGTGTGTGTTTTGGCCTTTCACTCTTGGCAGTGTTCCCGCTCATGTCATTTAGTGCTCTTACCTGGAGAGGAGGTAGACAGGGGGCCTAAAACCCTTAAGAGGCTGTAAACACTGGGGCCTTGATGAGACCATGAAAAACAGCTGCACTAGTTTTGGTTTGGGTTTTCTTTTTTTGGGGGGGGGGGAGCTTCCCTCTCCCATCATCATGAGCAAGTGGAAAAATGGGATAATGGAAGTGGTGTAAAACGGCATTGAGTTAATTCATGTGTCTCTGTATATTCCAGTCAAGTGTTTGAAGGCTGCAGAGCACCAGAGAGTGAGAGAGAGATTGAACAGGAGAGAGTGGTCTCAGATTTACGCGGCTGGCACGAAGAAAACATTCTCTTCTGCTATTCCGCAGTGTCACATTAGGATGTTACAACGAGACAATCAGGGATTTGTGCGTGCATATGTGTCCATCTAAGACGAGGAGAAGAAAGAGATTGAGACTGGACCCAGCTGTCCTTTTAACAGTTTGCATGCAAAGTTGAGTGATTAGAAGAGAGAAGTTTGATTTATGAGACACAGCACCGTTTAGGATCCCATGGGTCAGATAGCTGAAAATCTGCTCAGTGGGACATTGATGAAGCCTGCCTTGTCTTAAAGCTCCCAAATGGATTTTATCCAATTTATGATGTTTTTCCAAATTTCAACAGCAGGTTTTAAAGACCAAAGACCACAGCCAACAGTGAATTTATTCAATTTTAGTTCCCATTTTGACATAGTTTAAGAGGCCCTGCTCTACAATTGGACAAGCCTAAATTGTTACTATATTATAAAAATATATACACATATATATGTGTGTGTGTGTGTGTGTGTGTGTGTGCAAACAAAACACACAGATTCCCATAGAGATCTAGTTAGTCTGTTTCCATCAGGATGTATTTTTGTTTTTTCTGACTAATAAGTTATGTTTTTATTACTTGCTCAAACACTTTGCTCTCTCTGCTTCCAGCCCAGTTTTCTGTATCACTCAGCACTTCATAAATATAAGTCAGGATGTGCACAAGCACATGTCCACAGAGGGCGTTGTTGTTTGTAAAGTTTGCTAACAGCACAGATTGACTAACACTCTTTAATTTTGTATTTAATTTAATTTTTTTATTTTTTGCTTTGTTGTCTGTCTGTTCTCTCCACAGCTGAACTGAACATGGAGCTATCACGTCCCTTGAAAATCAGTCCCACTTTGGCAAAGCTGGAGCAGGCCAAAGCTTACCTGAATAAAATCCTACCGAACTATACATGGGACAGCTCAAGTAAACCACCGTCTGCTTCCTCCACCCCTCATTCTTCCCCTGCAAAGACACTTCACAGGGCCTTTCCTCCTCGTGCAGACAAACAGCATCAGGCCTCAGCCCTGGGTAAAGCCAGCAGTGTTGGGGCGCTGGCACTCACCTTTCACAAGGTTTCTCTTCGGACTGCTCAGATTTTAGTGGTTATGGAGACTGACACTCATCCAATGAGGCCCAGCATGACAGTATCAGTGTCAGCCATGGCAGGAAGTCTGAACATGAAGCCAGGGTCTAGGATAGAAGGTGAGTAAACCTGTTTTTTTTGGGGGGGGGGTTATTACAGGAACCAGAGGGACCAGCAGTGAATGTGCATGTAATGTTTGGTTACCAGGGTAACCCCTGTTCTCTAATATCCAAGCAAGGTATCTTATGATGGGAAGCGCATTTCAACATGACCATGAAAGCTTCACTAACTTGTCTAAGACGAACTAATGACTTCTAGGATTTTGAAAAATCTTTCAAAGTGATTTTTTATTTTGAACCACACACCTCTCTCTCTGAACTGATCCCACAAACTGTTGAAGGGAGGTGAATAAACAGGAAACAATGAGGGAACTTGTGCTCTTCCTTGACTATGAATGGGGAAAACATTGTTAGCTGTTACACAGCTTAGAGTAGAACGAAGCATCTTCCTCACGCTGCTTCTTTGGGGCAGGAAGGAACAATAAATAATCCTTAGAGTGCTCAGGGCATGGATCTCCATGAGTGCTGCCTGCTGTGCTTCTGGCAGCAACCACAGTTCATATATTGTGTGTCATTTGTTTCCCTCCAGAGGAAGGGATGATGGCTTGATGCAGCAGCAGGGGTGGTGACAACGCCAGTGAAAGATGTTTAACTGTAATACTGTTGTGTTTGTGGCCAGTAGGACACTTGCTCCTCAGGGGACTGAACACTACTTTCCAGCCCCCTGAAGCCTACATTGTTGAAGTCTACATTGCACTCTGTCGTTGTGAAGACCGGGAAGGCCGGCAGTGGTTCTTACGGTGTGACTTTGTGGGGAAGGCAAAGGTCAAAAGCATCACCGTGCTTCTTCCTCAAGTCACTACCCTGCACAGTGGTTACTGCCTCCCCTAAACAACTCCTTAGCACATGAAAGCTCATATGGGGAATCCATATTGACTTGCTTGTCAAGCAGGCTGGAGAGATTGAACTACAGTGATTTCTCTCCTACTATGATACAGCCATAGTCCTACATTGAAACCCAGAGAATAAGCTCAATAACAACACATATCTTCTCCCAAGTTGTAGTCATCCAGTGGGAGGCTTATGTCCTGAAACAATTCAACCTAATAAGCTGAGATCAGGGTGACCATATCAGTACATGGAGGCTTTCAAACATACCACGTTACGTGGGAAGGATGGCTCCTTGATGTGAATGTGAATTGATAGTTTAGGTGGAGATGATGTGAAGGTGATAGATCACTGGGCAGAGGGAGAATAGAATCCTCCTCATCCTCGTCGCTATTGTCTCTGAGGGGATCAATCAACAAGCTCAACTTCTTCTCTGCGTTCCTCTCTGGAGTCGAGGAGCTGTTTGGAAAGACAAAGAAATTTGGCCTCTGAGTCTTCGAACATGTCCACCCAGCTAGTGTCAGCGGAGTTTGGTTTGTCACTGGGCTTTGCCACAGTACTGGAAAAGCAGGAATTTGCTTTTGAGGCTACCGACACTTGCAAACAGCGCTACAGGGTTCTTCCTATCATTACATGGTAATGCTCACAAGAGATGGAATCTGTTAGCGATGGTGCATATTTGACACCCATACAGGCGATGTAGAGGTGACGGGAACTTTTCCCTAAGATGGTCAACCTGCACGAAGTCCCTAACCTTAGCGAGAGTGGCTTTTCCCTGAGAGGATCTACCAGTAGTCAGAAGCACTAATGCTCAACTTTGACAGCTAGCGAAACAGCTACACAAACACAAGCTCACCGGATGTACTACCTGCAACAATTCAAGAAGCAAATTAATTTTTGTAAGGAAAATATAATTACAGCATAAAAAAAAAATGAATCCTGAAACCAAAAAACCCACAATTAGGGACTAGATTGACAGTAGCGCCTGTGAACAGTTAAATTAATAATCCTTGTCCAAGTCTGCTGAGGAGCTCTAGCGATCTTACCAGGAAGAAAACAAGAATGTCTGGATTGGGGCCAGAGGCTATTAGAAAGGGAGTTGGCGAATCCTGTGTCCTTGAAGCGATTGGTCTGTTTTAGACAGACTTGATGGTAATGGAGCTTCTGTGATTGATGACACTATAAGGTGCTTCTCATAGTGGGATAGCGATTGATGTTTGAATTAAAGCTAATGGGTAACAGTTTAATGGTATTGCCTAAGCACAGTTTACATTGTGAACATGGAAGTTAAGTAGGAAAACAGAACCGTGAGTCATAATTTTGCAGATTGCTAAAAATGGGCTTGGACCTTAAATGACTCATTGTTACATGTTCTTTTTGTGAAAACTGAAAAACATCAAACTCGTGATGTGATCCATTTCATTCTGCTATATTTCAAGATATGGCTACTTGCTTCAAGGAAATTCTTGAAACAGGTGGAGCTATGTTGGAAACATCTGTCATGACTTCACCCTGTTTGGCAGAAGTAACCAAAATTTAAGACTCTGTAATACTCTGTACATGTACATGCTTTTCTGTGGCGTGTCATTTGTCTAGTACCCGAACTCAGCATTTGGGCCAAGAGAGCAATGAATCCAGGCACCTTGAAAATACAGTACAGTTGCAAAGTGCTCCAGATATCCTACACAAATGTAGTATAGAACAGATTGTTCATTCATGTGCTCACCTCGATTACATTTTTTATTCCTTCAAATTAAAAAATATGCCTGAAATGCAATATGTTTACTCTGCAATATGTTTAATTCAACACCAAAAGCCTAAACCATTGTTTTGGTGAGTGTGCCTCTTTGTCACTGCATACCAATAGTGAAAGTATTTTCTTTCCATGCTTGTTGTATGATGTCTTTGCCTGTTTGGAAGGTTTTACATTCTGTCATTTACTCCCAGTGATGAACACTGGGAATCAGATCGCACTGTTGCTTCTATTATTATTTGGAATATTGTTGTTTTTTACATGTGCGAGCAAAGTCCTCATCTGCCAACAACAGGGTTTGACAGTAAACTGTGAAGTGAGATGTTTGTGTTAGTCTTGGGTCTAAAGTTGTAAGACTGGGTGTATTTGATTACGTGGGTATGTGTGCATTTGGACATGAGAGAGACAGTTTTTTTCACGCAGTTTTGTATGAATGTGTTTGAGGGCAAGATGTTTGTTTTTGTGCTAGAACCAAACCCTGCCTTCATCAACACTGACTATTATCCAGGAGGCTTCACGGTGTTTCCATTATGACAATCAGAACCGCTAATGCTAATGTAAATTAAAGAGCTTCCAATTTCTTTGTGCAGCTGGGTGTGAGCCGGCGCACTATAACAGATGATGAGGGATTTTTAGTTTGTTTTTCACTTTTGCTGTTTCTTGGCACGTCTTCTAAATTGGACAGTAGATGGAAACAGAAGTATAAAATAGGTGGGGGGGGATTAAGGGGGAGGAGATGGCATGTGACGTGCTGGAGATGAAGACTTTCTCATTATCATTCAGGTAGATGTTTTTGTACCTCTGTGCCCTGAGCGGCACGTCCTCTGTTTACTGGGGCTGCAGAAGAACGAGGACAAGCTGAAACAAGGCTCCCTAAGTGCCTGCATCTGTTTTACAGATGTTGTTATATAGGGTTACTTCAGATAAAATGATTGTCAAAAATGTTAATTAAAACCTCAAACAATTTGCACTTTGTTTACTCGAATCTGCATAACTGCACGGTGACACAATACTCAGCAGTGCTGCCCTGAACTGATTTTCACCAGCTTTCAGCTTTCATCCATCTTTGATGTGTTGACTTTGATAAACACAGTTGAAACTGTGTGTGCAAGGCAGTGGAAAAAAAAGCAGTTTAGAGACAATAGTGCTAGTATGAAAGCTAATCCCGTCCCACTCACTGTGCTTTTGAATGACTCTACTATTTATAGTTATTACTCTTTCTTTTGCACTCAGTAATACGTTTCAAGAGATCCGTTCATAATAGTTCTTTGATTTGTTTACTGTAAACACAGGAAGTACAGATTGATTTGCCGCGAACTGTCTTTTCATGAGTATTGTTTTCTCCACAATTACCAGCACACTGAAAGCAAGCCATTAGAGCCTGACTTGATGCAAATAAAAAATATGGGGATCAGGACCACTGGTGTTTATTGACATCCACTGGGTTATTCATCCTCAGTTTGGCTCTAAACGTCTTGAAATACTGGTTGTTGTTACGCCTCGAAAAACATAACCTCATGCGCGTCTGTTCCGAACAAGACATTATAACAACTGCCATAAAACTAATGCTGTCATCATGTATGGCAGACGTTTTACTCAACTCCTCTTACATCATATCTGAGTGCTTTGTGAAATACCTGAGACATCTTAGATCCTCTGTACAGATCTTATTAAAGACTGATATTTCATTTCAGCGCCTTTTCTCAGAGCACATGCTGAGCCATGATTTGAGTAAGACTTGGGAAGTTTACATGGCACTAAATGCCTGTAAAGAGCCTCTTGTTTATATGGGGTAAGACATTAAAGCAAACTGAATAACATGTTTATCTCACCCAGTTGCATGCGGATTTTGTTTTCTTTTTGTTTACTTGACAACTTAAGCACACTTATAGATCACAACACACACGGCTTTTTTCCCCCATGGGTTTCTTCACATAGCGTTTCCAGATTTGTTGCCACTGAAAGGAGACAAACTGTCTCCAATTACACAGACTGATCACTAGTGACATTAGATGTATCTGCTGACTTTTAGCCTTAGCTGCACTGCCTCCATCACTCACCACTCTGGCCTACTCTGTGCCTTGGAAAGCGAATACCTTGGAATTTTCCAAAGATAAAGGTTGGGATTCCCATTCTGTAAGGTTGAGCCTTTGAGCTGCCACAATAAGTCAGCAGGAATGACCCCCCTGGGAGTAGCTGAACATGAGAGATGTAAGACAGGAGAATGTAGTGCGACTGCTTCTACAGTATGTATTACTACTGTTGCTGCTGTTGTTGCTGTGCTGGTCCTCAGTGGCAGGCTAAGACTGATGGAGCAAATCCTGAGCAGACCTCACGTTGAGGCCTGTGTGTGTAAGGAGAAACGGGAGAGGGAGGAAGTGGGAGGGAGAAGTTGCGAAAGAAGAGAAGCAAGGGGTGT